TTATATACATATATAAACTTTTGAGCCAATGCCAGTTTTCGACATTACTCGATGAAATAAAATATATTATGACAAAATTTTTTTAAAATTACGATATGAGACCGGCTACAATAGATAGATTTCTAAAGAAATCTACCTAAAAAAACGGAAAAAAGTGGAAAAGTTGCAGTTATAAATATGAGAAAAAAAATCTATTAAACATGATTATTAATGACGGGTGTATTTTCATGGATGAAATATGATCTTAGAATTGAAAAATTGCCAAAATTTTAAAATCTTTAAAAAATAGCATGTAAGGAGGAGGTACGAAACCATATTTTCGAATATCAGACTGTCGTTCGTTTGTATCGAATTTTTTTCTTCAAATGACCTACGCAGTGGGTTCCTTCTACGTTTTCTGGTATTTCTTTTGTTAGCATCTAGCGAAAATCTGACATCATGTTGACATTCTAATTTACTCGATACCTACCCTTCATTTCATGTAAGAATCCATGAAGTGTAGTTTGAGATTCATTAAGCATCCTAAATTTTTGTAATTTGTCACCAATCTTCTACTAACGTCCTATAGTTTTCGCTTTTTTTTTATTTCCTAAAAAGTTTTAGAACACATTTTTAAAACTTACCCAAGCTGTTCTCTCCGTCTCGTTCATTTTTCCTATAAAATTTGCATCCTGTAATAGAGTATGAATTTGAGGTCTATTCAAAATTCCTTCTTTTAATTTTGCATCACTAAAAGAAGCGTTGCAACCTAATAGCGCGTAGTTAAAGGTAAAAATCTGAAATTTGTTTTCAAAAAATACTTTTAACTACGCGCCATTTTATCAAATATTTTTTTTTTTTCATTCTAGTTCCGACGATAACTATACTTATACTAATTAAAAATCAGTCATTTTTTTTTGCGCCCCACGAAAAAATATTTGAACGAAAAATACACAGCTGAATTTTAAATTTAAACTTTTACTTATGAATCAGTTCCCGGACGACAATCAAAGATCGATAAGATCTGTTATGTATCTAATCGCTGGGTTTATACAATTATTATAACTTTATACAATTTTGAAGAACTCCATTATCTTCTTGAGTTGAGTAGAAAAATTATTAAACTAAGAAATTTTTCCTGGTTTAAGTAAATTTTACTTGATTCAAGACAATGAAACTTTTCAAAATTATTTTCTTGGTTCAAGAATTTTCCACTTGATTCAAGTTAATGTTTTTTTCTGTGTATTTGTAACGTGATATTTTATTCATTCTCAATGTATATTTATATTTCGATCACTATTTGTTTATTTCATTAAAATACTAATTTATAATATAATAAATTATTCTGCTAATGTCAAATATCTATAATCTGATAGCGCATGCACGTACCGCCATTTTATCAAAAGAATCCATTTTGTTGTAGATAAAATTGAATCGCACGACATGTTATTAAACATATATATTTTTTCACTAGGTATAAAAGTCTAACAGAGAAATAATTATTGCTTTTATCCTAATTACAAGTTAAAAAACAATACCTCAATTTCAAAAAGAATATTAAACTTCTTACAGATAAATAAAAAAATATTTTAATAATAAATGATAGTTTAAATCTCAGTAGGTGCAGGTGGCTGTGATTTGTAATGATGGATAAAGTTCTTTAGCCATGACAAGTATGACTCGGGACTGTGCTGGACTTCCTAGTAAGTCAGGTGGTGTAGTACAAAGTATAAGTAGCTTGGCCACATGTTGCCTGCAGCAGATATCTAACTGTAGCTTTACATCATATTTAACTATACATATATATATATATATATATATATATATATATATATATATATATATATATTGTATGTGTTCACGATACCATGATATAAGTACTTTCCCCCTATACCAGTGCTATACGTTATTCATCCAACTTCTACCATGCATCCAACAACGCCTTTGTGTCATTTTTACATTATTACTATTGTTGTTATTTAATTCTACTGGTCTACGGATAATCACAAGTCATAGCCAATTTGTCACGGATATATGACACATTACCTTTAACACTGGGGTATAATTCACATTCAATATTTTAAATGTGAATTAATAATTATTAATCATTAAATTGATTTTTTTCTAACATTTATTTACATAAAAAAATTTTATTCAAAAATCGGATTTAAAATACTAAATCATGATTTCTACTTGATAAATAAATTACCTTATAAAAAATAATTTTTTTTTATTATGAGAATATTACATTAAATATCACACTATGATTAACTTATTAATTTATGTTTTTTTTAAAGATGAGATATTTTCAATAATTTAATTTAAAAAAAAAATCTTTTTTTAAAAGGTTCTTAATTCTTATCTTAACTCGGTCATTAAATTAGTCGCAGCGTTCAAGCGCTTTAAATTGAAAATTCTTTCAGTGTAAAGAGAATTTCGAACAAGTATAGTTTCGATTCCGATAAACGAATTCTTTAACTAACTCGACCTGATAAGTTAGTGTTTAATTTTTGATAATTAATCTACTTTCAAGATCATACGGTTCTTTTAGTTTTATATCAGAAAATTTAAAAATAAATTAATCAATTAATAAACGTTTAAATTTTAAGAATTTGTTCCAATTCTTAAATATTTTTTTTTTTTTATTATGAAATAAATTATTAAAACACTGAAATTAAATAAAATAAATGATGATAAGAAGAAAAAATAATAGAAAAATGAAAAAAAAAATAAAAAATTTATTCATTTGAAAAACAAAATCAATAAATCAAAACCCAACAATTGAATATTCATTTTTTTGTTATATTATTACAAAAGCCACGTTTTCAAAATCTCATCAATTAAAATTAATTATTCAAACACATTAATGAATGAAAGCAACGATTCAATTGACCAAACCAGTGGTTAAATAATAACTAAGTATAAACGAACCAGTGAACTCAGTATGAATAAATCATAAAGTTATTACAGAGTTATCAGTAGCAATTATAGCCGTCACGTCAATAATTATTATTTTATTTAGTATTAATACACCATCACGCGCGTGTGTGATAATTGCATGCAAACACCGAGGTCAACACTTATACTCTCTATTCGCTCGAGTTATTATATATATGCTTAACTTAAATATACACATATATACTTGTAATACGTCATAATTTATAGTACACCAACCCACTATCACGAGGGCTGCAATTATTCGATTAATTATCAATTACAATTATTAATCAAGTTGAGTTATGATTCATACCCGTGTGAGTTTATTAATATAATAATGAATACAAATATCGATACAATCTTTATTCAGATTCTTCTTCAACTTATGAAACTTACAGTAATTCACTGTTTAAAATTAATTAATCAGAAAAAATTAATTCAAAATTTAATTAATCTCAAAAATTAGGATAATTATATAGAAGTGGAGTTTCACCTTTTTTGTAGTCGTAAATGAAAAAATTGAAAAATAAAGATATTCAAAAATTTTTATTTTCAATATGTTTTATTTTTCGGCAGATTGAAGATGAAAATTGGTAAGATTTTCAAAAAATTGAATTTCATAAAGATTGTCGAATT